AAAGTTACAAAAGATATCACCATATTTTGATTTATATTGCCAATTAAATTAAAAACAAAAGTAAATTAAATTATTCTGCCTATCATCCTCCACTCACCTCCTTAATGCTGGTTTTCTACTGTCATACAGTCTGTCCCCTAGGACTGTACCTCTGGCATGACTGATGATGCCTCAGCCTTGGCTATGATCCCTGCAATTTACACTTTTCAAAAATAACCGGGGCTGTCACAGACGGAGACAAATGGTTGTCTTCTTCAGCTTAAAGCAGAACAGCCATCAGGAGAGGTGCCTGTCTCTTTCTGTGCATGGAAAATTCACAGCTTAACAAAAATTTGGGCTTAAAACTCATGGAGCGTCTCATGCTATCTGTGAGAGAAAGCTCATTAAAAAGACCCTTATAAAAATGACAGTACCTGTCAAATGTTAGCACTTAAGATGTGGTTCAATGCCACAGAGGCTACAAGTAAATCAGCAAGGTATCACTGTGATTATTAATTATAAAAAGTTGTAGGAGAAGAGGATATTGAGTTAATGAGAAAAAAAACTTGCAACAACCTTTAAACATAATTTATTGATGCAAGAAAAGAAGATAATGCATGTTTGACAGTCGCCTAGATGCTCAGTTTTAATTACGGGGCTCAGAGCTATCAGTGCATGTACCCTACATAGTTTCAAAATCACAGACATTTCAGATTTTCCATTAATTGTCAAAAGACTACAATTTCAATGCAAACATGGACTTCCGAACGTACTTTACTGCGGACGTATCCGAAGCCAAGCAAAGCATTCCAGATATCCCTCTCCCCAGCAACGCTTTCCAGCTCCTCCTGGGGGACCTGGAGGCGTTCCCAGGCCAGATTAGATATGTAATCCCTCCAGTGTGTTCTGGGTCTGCCCCAGGGCCTTCTACTAGTGGGACGTGCCTGGAATACCTCCAACAGGAGGCGCCCAGGAGGCATCCTGATCAGATGCCCGAACCACCTCAACTGACCCCTTTTGAAGTGAAGGAGCAGCGGCTCTACTCCGAGCTCCCTCCGGATGTCAGAGCTCCTTACCCTATCTCTAAGGCTGAGTCCAGCCACCCTTCAGAGGAAACAAATTTCGGCAGCTTGCATCCTCATTCTTTTGGTCACTACCCAGAGCTCATGACCAGAGGTGAGGGTTGGGACGTAGATGGACCAGTAAATCAATAGCTTTGCCTTCTGGCTCAGCTCTCTCTTCACCACAACAGTCCGGCACAGCATCTGCATAACTGCAGACATTGCGCCAAACCACTGATCCATCTCATGCTCCATTCTACCCTCACAATGAACAAGACTGCGAGATACTTGAACTCTCTTGCTTGTAGCAGTAACTCACTCCCAACCCAGAGGGGGCAAGAAACCATTTTCCAGCATGGCCTCTGATTTGGAGGGCCGCTTCGCACTCAGCTACAAACCGCCCCAGTGCATGCTGGAGGTCACAGTGTGATGAAGCTAATAGAACCACATCATCTGCAAAAAGCAGAGATGCAAATCTGAGGTCACCAAACCGGACCCCTTCACAGACTTCAATCAATCAATTTTATTTGTCACATATTATAAGATAAAATGAAATTCCAGTGAAATGTTATTCCGCTAGTTAGACTACTTCAATTTGGGCATTAAAATAGTTCATGTACACAAATACTGACTTGATTTTCAGACTATTGTTGTTCATTTTTGTTGCCATATTGCTGCTTCAGATGTACTTTGTGGCTAATGCTAATTAGCGAATGTTAGAATGCTAACAAACTAAAGAAAAATGATGAAAATGGTAAACATATGCAATGTTAGCTTTGTCACTGTGAGAATTTTAGCATGCAAAGTTAACATTTAGCTCAAAGCACCACTGTGCCTGTAAGTGCAGCCTCACAGAGCCACTAACATGGCCGTTTTGTTAATGTAATAAATTATATAATTTATAACCTAATCCTGTCTAATCTCTTCATTGTCCTGCACACCCAGAATTTGGGATTCATAATAAATAATCAGCTTAAAGTGCTCCACAGTTGGCATTTCAATCTACAGAGAGTCTTATTACTGTTCCTTCACAGATTGAAAGTTATCTCATGCCATGTCTGGACAGGCTAATCACGACTCCCTGAAGCATCTTTAATAAAGTTGATTATTTCCTGCTATTACAGACACTTTTGTTAATTGGCTCCAATCCTTGAGCCTGTATGTGGTTCAATTTGCAAATCCCAATCAGTTAGCGTGCGCACTGCTGGTGAATGCACAATGGAGAGTTTTTGAATGTAATTAATACCATTGTCTCGTACATAACTGTTGGAAATTTCTATGCTGATGGCACAGTTCTCTGTTTTGCTGATTCCATAAAGCAAGCTGTTAAAAACCTGCAGTTTGCATTTTATGCTCTTCAGAAGCTTCTTATCAGTCTCCAACTTGTGCTGAATAGTAATAAAAACTCCAATATGCTGTTGCCCAAAACTAGAAATATTATTGACCTTTAGATCAGCTCTCTTATTGGTGCCGATCTTCTCTCTCATTATACAGCAAATACCAAAGTTTCAGAGGCGATCAAATCCATATAATATCTTACTGACCAACTGAGAATAAAAATATTTTATGTTGCAATGCAGAATTTGACTCATCTCTCACATGTTCTGTACACAACTTTTCTGAAGCCGTCTTTTTTTTATGTGGTGGTGTAATCTATAGGCGTATAGCTGCAGCAGCACTCTCAGCATTTATTGCAATGACCACCCGGGCTCTTTCATATTCATGGTAAGCATTGGCTTCTGTTTATAAAGCCATCCTCCAAAAGTTATCGCATCTGATTTTGTTTATTGGCTGCAGTATTGGAGTTGGTCACACTCACACTGAGAGGTTGATCCTTGAGATTCTTCTGATTTACTTCAACATCCTGCTCTTTATATTCCTACAATAAACTGCCATACATTTGAAGATTTAAGATACTGGGACAATTCAATAACCTTATAACTGACAGCTTGATAAAGGGATGAAAGTTCATTCATGACGCTGGATCAGTAATTCAGAAAACAGTCACTTTTCTGGAGCTTTCGATAAAGGCCACATCTAACAGTTGTTTTTATTATCCTTTAAATCTGTCCAGAGTAATGTCTTCAGATGTCCTCTTTGTCTAACCAACAGTGTGCAACCAAAGATCAATTTCTGGTCACATCAAGCAGAGATACGCAGCATGTTAAATGATGATCAAAACAGTTAGTCAATTGATTTCCTGCCAGTCGACCTATCAATCAACTAATCGTTTCGGGTTTACTTAACATTTCTGAGCACTGTAAAGCTACAGTTGGAAACTTTTATGAATTTTTCTTTGTCATATTTGCTGGAACTGTCACTATATTCTGAAAGTACATGAGACTGTGGCCAAGACGAAGCAGAAACAGGGGTCCGGTCCGCCTGCCTCCCTCCCGTCAGACACCTTGAAACAATCATTGTTGTCTTCTTGACCTCTCGAGCAGCATTAACTGTTAGTCCGTTTAGCATATGTTAGCCACGTCTGCTAACGTTAGCAACCGTTGATTGGATGTACTATCATTGTCTAGAAGAATTCACCAAGCATTAGATTGTTTACCCACTAAAAGGGAACGTGCGCTGGGTTTAGACCGTCGTGAGACAGGTTGAGTTTGACAAAAACTGAAAAAAATCATGTCTACCTCTAATGGCTTACACTCGAATCGGATGCCAGTGCAGCAGCAGCAACCAATCAGAGCCAAGTAGTCTTTAACGCAGATGTCAATCACTCCTATTACTACATTGCCTACTTCTCACTTCAGATGTTTTCAGAAAGATATTTTAGTGTACTGTTTAGCTGTAAAATGAGAAAAGTTGGTCCAGCTGGTGGGCAGTGCTTGGTACTTCCGTGTAACTGTATCCAACATGGCAGCTGGGTCACAAACTTTTTCATTTTACAGCTGAGGAGTACACTAAAATATGTTTCCAAAAACAGTTGAGGAGAGAATAGGCAATGCAGTAACAGACTTGTGATTTTCATGTGATCAGCGCTGCCTAGTTTGACAGTTTGGCCACAGTTCCCAAGCAGTGATTGACATTACTGACAGCTGCGAGACTCCTTGGCTTTGCAGTAAAGGCCCGAACATACTCGGGCGTACTATAAGCGGAACGGACTCTGCAGGGGAATGTCCGCAGTCAATCGGGCTTCCGTAGTCGAGCGCACTTCTGCGTTGTAGTTTCCTGTAAAAATGTCCATGAAAAATCCCCGCATTGTGAAAAATACATGCCGAGCAGTCACTGGTGCGCAGAGCGGAGTCCACGCGGTCGTAAAATCTGAGCTTTGCACGCTCAGGGCTTGCGGACGTCTGCTTTGTGTCCGCGTGGACTTCCGCGGAGTCCGTTCCGCCTGAGTATGTTCGGGCCTTAAGGCCATACATATGCCACAAGGCCACTGAGTCAGCAGGGAAATGTGATTTTCTTTTACCCCCCAGACTATCCGTCTCATTTAGCCCTGTGTGAATATAGTGAGCGTTTCAGCAAATATGAAAAACAAATTATTTTGGTAATAGTACCAAGTGTAGCTTTAAGGACTTAAAAAGAAAAAGAAATGTCAAGGGTCCATTTAATAGCAGTTCTTTACATGCTATTGAAATTTGAACTTCCAACTCAATCTATTAAAAGCCCTGAATGAGCTTGATTGTTTTTCTCAGCACATGAAGAAAAATGAAACTGATGTTTAGAGTAATAAATTGTGTTCCATTGTATTGTTTTTTTTTTTAAAAAAAAAAAAACAAAACCTGTATGACTCATTTTATTAGTTTAAGATTTTTAAGACTTTGTACAATGTGTTTCCAAAACATTAAATGTGAGTTAATAAAAATATAGAAAGATATTCACAATTCAGTTTTCAAAATCTTAAAAGCTTATTTTGTTCATGTATAATTTTTTAGAGAACCTAGAAGAGTGCTCTATAAATAAGAAATTATGATTAAACAGTGAACAAAAGGAGTCAGACACACTTACTTCTTTAATAAATACAAAATGCTATTTGTTTATTTTTGACCACAAAAATACAGGTGTGGATCCTTAACAACTGTACAGCTATGTGCAAAGTCATGACGTAACAGGACAGACTGCAGATAAAAACAGAATACATGTGACTATCACACAGTGTGATATAAATACTTGAAGCCATTTTACCAGATTGTCATTCATCATATGCCATCTGCAGCATATTTAAAGGCAGCAGCATATGGAGCCTCTGCCTATCACAAGTATAATTACGCTCCTAACAGGTGTTCTCCGGCACACTGAAACCTGCAATCCAGTTAAGAAACGGTCGAAGACATGAGCACGATACAAGCTCATAATTTTAAGCACATATGAAGGAATCCTTGGGATCTAAAGAATTTCACAACATCTGGAGCCAGTGACGACTTTTTAAGGATGTTTTAAAAAAAGCCTGAAACTAGGACAACTATGAAAGGAAATTGTATGTCATTAGACAGTAAATGGTTGGTTTGCTTTCCACAAAAAAAGAGGTGTCAAGTGGTGTGAATATCATCCATCATTACTCTGAGGACATGTTCGTCTCTGTCACTGGATGTCATCATCGTCAAACAGATCCTCAAAATCTGTGGAAACAAAAAAACATGATTGTTAAAATAAGGTTACGTAACAGCTGGAGAACGAAACACCGGCCGTATTTCAAATGTTTCTGACATTCTCTCATAAAGCAGTGTTATAGGTGGAGAGGGTTGAAGAGGTGCAGGGTGATAAAAGTAAAAGGATCTGGGAATGCACTTGCTGAGGAGTCTGCACAGCGGCCTTCCTGTGCGTCTGACAGTTTGTGAGGTCAGAGGTCAGCACAGAACTGTATGAACATGCACGGGATTATGTGCCACATCCTCCGCTTCTGCAGGCAGCCTTCATTTAACTCACTGCGATCCAGCTTATGGAAAGATAAGCTTTCATTTGTCACAATTGTTAAACCATTCAGTATGTACTGCATCTGATGTGAAGCCTAATGTTTAAGTATTGGTCAGACCTATTGTGGGTTGTACTGTATGTTTGCCTTTTTAGATATGGCTCTTTTTACATTCTTTAGTAGTCGTTCAACTAAAAGATTAATCAGCAACTATTGTGATAACTAATTAATCAATTTCAGTCAGTTTTCCAGGGAAAAAAAGCCAAACGTTTGCTGGCTACAGCTCCAGAAAATATGAGAATCGTATGCTTTCCTTCAGCATATAATAAAGTGACAGAGTCTCTCTGTGTTTTGGACTGTCAGTCAAATAATACAAGCAATTGGAATGCATCACATTGGACTGTGGGAAATTATTACCAGCATTTTTCAACATTTTCTGACATTTTTAGGCACAACAAGGAACCAGGGATATAATCAGCAGATTAATAGTTAATGAAAACAATCATTAGTTGCAGCCCTGGTGTTTTCTTTGTAAAGTGAAAGCTAGGATTGCAATTGATTACTTTTTTGTTTCCATTATCAATTAATCTGCCCCTTTTTTTTAATTCATTGTTAAATCTGCAAAATGTCAGAAAACAAAAAGCAAAAAGAGAACCAACATAAATCCCTATAGCAAACCTTAACAACTGAGAAGCTGGAACGAGTGTTTTGGCATTTGTGCTTGTCAAAATAATAATTATTTGATTATCGTTTTAAACAGTGGTTAATTTCCTGGCGTTGGACTAATCACTTAATCAACTAATCCCTTCATATTGGGAAAAAATGAAGAAGGAAGCGGGTTCAACTTGTTGTCTTTAGTGCTAATCTCTTGTAATCTAAGGGCTCAGTAAAAAGAAAAATGTTAACAGACACTTTGAGTGTGGATGTGTGAATAGCACTCTATTATGCTGTTTAGGTACAGTCTGCAGTCTACATACAGTACACAGTGTGCAGACTACACACAAGAATTTGCAGACTGCTGTTTTAAAAGGTGCCATCAAACACACAGAACATAAAAATCACACAACACACGGCAGAAAAACAACATTTTGGCTCTAATTAAAGCCTTCACAAAAAAACACAAAACATTACTTACAATGGAAGACATCTACGCTCAGGTGACAAATTTCCTTCTGTCATGTTGTAAATGCTTGGACAGTATTTATATACACTATACATATATATGACCAAAAAAGGGGGTGCCCAAATGTCCACAGGGGCATTGCCACATTGAAACAGGAAAAAACCATTCCCAAACTGTTGCTACAAAGTTGGAAGGACATTATTATCCAAAATATCACTGTAAGCACTGCAGCACTTTGATTTCCCTTCATTGAAAATAGGTGGCCATAGCGCCAGAGCAAGAGTACTAAGTCAACTGGTGTGTCCACATACTTTTGGCCAACTATTGCAAATGTCCAGTTTAGGGTTTCTGTAAGGTCTACACACATTGACTGATTAACTGAACAGGACCAATGAAAAAAGAAAATATATTACAATAAAATAAATGATACAATAAACAATGCAGGCAATTGACAGTAGTTAATGTATGAAAAAATATGAGCCTGTAATGTTTGTACTGTATTTTAAAATGCTTAACAAACATTTCCAAAGTGATTCATTCAGGTTTTTCAGTAACAGTTTCATTACACTGCAGTTTCCTGTGAGCCTAGAAAGTAAAAGCCTTATAAACGCGGAGCACAGAGAAGCAGTCAGAGCTACAGGCTACAGTGAGGCTAAAAACAGAGTTCATATGATGTTTTTCGAAACAACTTTTTATGTCGCGGCTGCAGCACACTTGGATCACTATGGATGAGCAGTATGGAGATACTTTGTGTATTCAATTTTGTGTTCTTGGACGTTAGTCTGGGACACCGTCTGCCATTAGGTGTGCTAGCTGCTCCCCCCGCCGATCTCTGCAAGGGATGTGAGGACTCTAAAACTTCACCAGGGCCTCCATCGGCATATGGGTGAGTAGATAATGGCTGAATTTTCATTTTTGGGTGCACTATCCCTTTAAAACATAAGGACTAGACCTAAACAATTACAACACAGAGAAGTAATTTCACTGCAGAACCGCTGCAGCCTGAATATTTCAGAGTAAAATAACAAAAATTAGCACAAACTGTCACTTCAGTGACAGTGAAAGAGCTGAGCCAGTGTGACACTGATTGTTTAAATGAATTAACATTTAAAATCCCTTTATAAATGTAGGCCAGGGGATTGGGAGCTGCTTTCAACGCGCCGGGAGACAGTTAAGTGGTACACATCTCGACGAGAAGGGAATAAAGCCTGCCATTCTAAATGAGCCTCATACAAAGCACATCTACAGAGCGCCAGCTGAGAAGTCTGTGTGGAATCTGTGTCGCATATGGCGAGAAGTCGCGGCTGTTTGATGTAGTTGCCCCTCAGGACAAGAGATCACACTACATTATAAAACACAGTTTGTAAAAAGGGGGGGCGGAGGTACAAGGAATGTTTTGGGGCCAGTAAAGAGATTTTCCTGCTGTGAAAACAGCAGCGTTTTGACGCCCAAGGGGGAAATAACATCATGTGCTAATAGATTCAATCTGCTCTGACTGACACTTTACTATCTGAAGATGTCTGACTCCTCCTCACTTCAGATTACCTGAGCAGCAAAGTTAATGTGCATCTATGTGTAAAATCCTGTGAGAGGATCAGACAACCTAAAGATGTTGTTAAGGCTCTGTATTTTAGTAAAGACACCTTTAGGAAATTCAGTTAAAGTGTCAGAGATACAGAGACCGAGTATTTCATTTTAAAAATCTGCGGCTGCCAAAATCCAACAAAATTTGAAATAGCTAAGTAATTTCTGTTATTTTTGTGTTTATAAGTGGGGGTTTTAAATTATGTGTGACACACCACTCTCCTGCTAAGTCTCTCCAAACAAATACTTATTTCAAAACATCCACTTCCACCCAAACGAAAATGTCAGACTTCACTGCATGAGAGATGAGGAACACGCACCACGATTAAAGTACAGGTGTGAAGAAAGATAGTCGCACACGTGTAGTCAAAAAATATTACATATATTCAGACTCTATTGTGTAAAATATGCCACGCAGCCTAAAGTCCAAAGTTTGGAGGTACCAATGTTGCAGAAAAAAGACCAGAACATTTAGTGGTGTTGTAAAATAACCACCACTGCAAACCACACTACCTGGCCCCAAACTCCTCCCAGATGAAGGCAGTAACTGGAGTAAGAAGCTTTTTCATCTCCAGGCACGTGAAGCATTTAAAAGGCTGGACACGCAGCCAGTCTGCAGCATTTCAGCCAAATATGTATCCTTGGGGACTGCTTCAAATGCTGCTCTGTGTATCACTACCCATTATTTAGTACTATTAGTGTGGCAGTATCTGAGCATTTGGCTCACAAGTCTTTTATTTCATGTACAAATAAATACATAAAACCATGTCAAATCTAAGATGAACTGAGTCTTAGCTAAAATCAAATTAAGTTTGAACACCGCATTTAGTCAGTCTGACAGAGATGGAGTATATACACAGCAAAATTCCTATTAAAAATCGGCTGTACTTTATTTTAAATAGGGTAATGTATATGTAAGGCCAGTGGTATATACAATCCCTGCAGATAATATGGACTAACTCAGTGCATAACAACAATAAATCAGTATTTCCACGACATTTTATGATGGGTTCAGGTAGATTGTTGGTTTTGCTGTTGTGAATCTCAGTTTGTGATTGTTTAAAGTTAAGACATGGCAAGTTGTAAGTGTATGGAGATCTTTACCATTAAAGAAGTCTGAGTGAACTGCCTTTTCATTGGCAGCCAGGTCCATCAGCAGTCCTGTGCTTCCCCCAGCCTGCCAGAGAACAAACATGCAGCTCAGAAGCACAAATTCAACCCCAAGAAACACAGCCAGCAACTTACCAGCTGCACAACCAGTAAACCAGCCTACTACTAGCAGTCTGTTTAGATACATTTGTCACTATAAGTTACTTGTGGTCAAACATAAACCAGCAAAGACAGTAAACTGTGTAGTCTTATATGATGGTCTTGATTCTAGAGGCAAGGCAAGACAAATGTATTTATATAGCACATTTCATACCTAAAGGCAACCCAAAGTGCTTTGCAGATTAGTCAATCAAAGTTCATTATAGCCCAGTCACAAAACATGCCTCAAAGGGCTGTACAAATAATAATTTCAATTCAATTATATCTATAAAGCCCAATATCACAAATCACAATATGCCTCAGAGGGCTTTACAAAATACAACATCCCTCTGTCCTTGGACCCTCAGAGATTACTAATACTCTATTCTTGAATCATCACTTTTTCATTTTGCTACTCTATCCTCCTGTTGTCATCCCAACCAGCAGACACCTTGTTAATCCTTTGTTTAGTTTATCATTAATTTTATTTAGCTCCTCGTGAATACTTGAGTTGTTTGTCACTTTTTAAACATTAAGTAGATCCAGGAGGTCCAACAAAATCCTTCGGCGTGACCAAGTATGTGTACACATACCAGCAATTTGACTCCAGCTTTAAGTTGTTCTCAATGTACTTACACATGAATTTACAGGAAGGTTTAAAAAAAATAGACGTACAACTAAAAGCAAGGACAACAAACTGAATAACTATGGTTCTATGTCTATATATAGGCCTACCTAATATGTTCATAAAAGCAGATGAGAATAGCAGCACACAAAATCTATTTATAAGTCAGGTGCTCTGTACATTGTAAACAAATACAAATAGTTCAAAACTATTAAATGGGTTAAGTACCAAATGATTTTATATACACGAAGAAAGTGGTCATGTAGCCTACGTTTTGTATTATGTTACATGTCTCACAGTATATATACAGTGTGCAGGGTGATAGGTTCATGTTAAAGCATAGTGTGTACTTTAAACTGTAAATATACAGCTATTAATGTGTGGGTATGAGGATATTTTAGTGTTACAAACTGATTTAATAGTTTCCACTGTAATATGTGGCTTTGTATTATCTGGCTTGAACACTGTACCCTGATACAGTCAGCCCGACAGTCTGTAGCTTACTTCGGCTAATTTACAACTAAATTAACAGGCAAGCGTAACATAATATTAGCATGCCAGTAATTAGTTATTAATTTAATAATTATTCGTAACTTTTAGCAGTTAATGGAGAGATACTTTAATACAGACCCATAAGGCTGTAAAACAGTTCAATAACAGAGGGACAGTTAAAGTTGGCTGGTACAGCTAGCTAACGCCAACTGTTTATATACGTGGCTAACTAAGCTAATAGTTAGCCTGCCACCTAGTTAGCTAACAAACCTCATCCAGATCAACGTACGGCCCCGCGCCCTCAGGAAACATCTCGTCCACCGCTGGTTTCATGGCGACGGTCGAGTTGGATTGATCCTTTAGTGGCATCGATGATCAAAAACCACGGCGTCTTATCGCCGAATATTCATCAAATTATTAGCTAAAGAAGCTACACCACCAAGCTAATGTGGTGCCCCGTCAAAATAAATCCGATGGGAAAGTCGAGTCGAGATACAAAGGTTCCGCGGCAAGTTTTCAGGGAAGCTTTAATGGATACATTTTATCATCATTCTTTAAATCAGCGATGAAAGGAGTACTATAAAGACCTTGTACCTAAGTAAAGGTGATGATGCCACAGTGTAGAAATACTCTGTTACGAGCAGAAGTCTGGCAATCAATTTTATTCTCCAGTAGGAGTAAAGTTTTAGCATTAAACATAAAGCACCAAAAGCAAAAGTGGGCAACCCATTGTTTAAAATGACCCATTACAAAATAATTTATATTATGTTATTGAATTATGATCATTGGTTCAACAATGCATACATCACTTTAAAAGTGCTGATAAAGGTAGAGCTATTTTTTTTTTTCAAATTACTGCTGGGTAGCTTGTGAATTTTACCAAGGGATTGATAAAATCTTTATAATAACCCAAAAGAAAAAAAAAACATATTCTAATCTTACGTGTTTAAAATGATTGCATATTGCACCTTTGATGCAAAATGTGTTTCTTAACCACACTGCTTTTTTTTTTGACATGACACATTAAACATTTCTGGCAAATGTAAAATCTAAAGCTACTTAAGGATCAACTTGAAAGGGGAGTCATAATATAAGAGAAATATTTCACATTACTAGGATGTCAACCTGTAAACATTAAAAGTACCTAATACAGCAATAGAAGTCTGCACTTTATTTATTTACAGGTGAAGTAAAACCACCTTTCATAGGGATCTTTTCAAATCAGTTTTTGTTTCTGACTCTATCTATTCATGTAGAAACCCTGAGCTGCTCTCTGATGTTCATTCAATATTTTCATTAAAGAGGTGCTGCACAGAATCAAAGATGATCACATGAAGTATGTTTCACTGTCTTTTATTTACTCTAATTGAATGCTTTATGTTTCCAGCTTGTGATATAAACATTAACTAATATCATTTGATTCCAGTATGATTTGTCTACTTTATACTGCAAATTAAACAGCTAAAATAGTTCACTATGACAAAAAGAACAGCTTAAATGGCTATACATGTGCGGAACATTACCCTCAGCTGACAGTATTACAACCAGGGATGTTGTGTTAAATAAAGAGGTGGGTATGCTGTTATACATAAAACACCCTCACACCAAACTACAATGTACATGCAGTTATTTTGTGCTGTTGTTATTGTCTCAAAAAGCAGAAAAACTCTGTCCACACATGAACAAACTGAGTAACTGAGTTGAGTGTACCCTCCGTTACATCCCTGGTCATAATCATCTAAATATTAGTCTTCTGTGGAACCAGAGTTAAATCATCTTCCACTCAATTTCTCCTTCTGTCAGCAGAAGTGTCATCTTGCTCTGCTCAGAGAGTTTTGTTACAGCCCTGCTGCTTGCTGGGAATCATCCTGGTCACGTCGATGTTGTTGTTGGCAAAGATCTGCATGGCTCTCTGGATGGTGGCGTCTGGCAGGGTTCTCGTTCTGCCCAGGATCCAGGCAAAGTCGACGTGGAAGAGCCTCAGGATGTCCGTGCAGGAGTACACGTGGGCCACGTTTGTGTAGTCAGTGGACAGGATCCAGTAAGGGGAGTAGGGCAGGACTGTGGTGATGAGGAGTAAAAAACACAAGATGGAGAAGCAGATCACCTACAATGTTTTCACCTGATCCGACATGAGGATCAAAAATAAGAGGCATGACCATGTTAAGAAACACACTAACATTAACAACTGACTCTCTAAATTATACACAACAGTGGCATTTATTCTCAAAGATGTATTCAGTGTCTCTCTCACCGTAGGAATAGCTTATTCCCAGCTTGGCCGGGTTCTTCAGATCCTCTATGACTCCAGTCCCTACGATTTTCCTCAGCTCTCCTTGTCTGTTTTATTTCACACAGTCAAATTTCATGTTGGATTAAGCGAAATACCACACACCGTGCAAATATTACCTCTTGACTCCACATTTGCACAAAGAAAATTGCAGATAGGACTCACAGTATTTCAGAGCTGACCACTCGAATGGAGTTGTCTGTCGTCAGAGTGAAATTGGTTTCGATGCACCGGCCTTTCTCAAACTGGGCTGGCAGTTTGGCAATTTCAAACCATCTCCCCATGAACTGTGAGGGCAAAGACACACACGAGTTCAAAGACAATTCAGAGCGCTGTGAGTGGAGCGTATGAATAAATCTACATGTTTTAGTGGATTCCGTAAATGTACGGTGAGTGTCCTATCAAACCTATTCTTTACCAGAGGTGGGATGTACATTTACTCAAGTACTGTGCTTCTCTTAAGTATTTCCATTTTATGCTACTTAACATGTCTACTCCACAACATTTATTCACCAGCTTTACATACTAGCAGGTTTGTTTCTTGTGAACAACCCACCAGTACATACAGTACTTCAAATTAGCTCCACCTGGACCAACTGCATCAGTGAAATGCTACTTACACATGAATGAATCAATAATAACAATAAAGTAACACTATTTTGATGGTACACTAAAATGTAGGAGTAAGCAGATATAAGGGCATTTTAGGTGGTTATTAATGTACGATATTTGTCAACAGTTTTAACATTTTATATTACTATGACTATGTTTTACCATATTGTCATTTGGTATTTGTTTATACACCAGCATATTTTTTTGGATGTCCACAGGAGGAGCTTTAGTTGTTGGCAACAATACATTCTCACTCCCAACTCCTCACATACCATCGCTTGGTCAATGGCCCTACATGTCAAACTATGACACTCAAAGTAAGCTTCCAGTGTTCCAGATGCTCTTGGTAAACTGGCATGTCAGTTTACCAAGTGGCAACCTCCAAGGATGGACAATAAAGTCAACGCAGAAGTGCCAGAAACTGCAGTTCCTCTAATGGCCACTTGAGGCTGGCTCCAAAAGCCAGTCAATCCTCATAGACCTCCATGTAAAAATTCTCAGTTCTACAGCAGAAATAAACATGTTTACAACCTGGTACAAAAAAACATTTTTGTTTCTATAAGTAGTTACCTTCTTCAAGACAACTGTACAGGGGTGAATTTTTATATAATTTGCTTGTTATAGTTATAGTTACACATAATCAAAGGCAGGGCTACCCCTCGCTCCTTCACAGTGCCAGCCTATCAACCAAATATGATCACTTCTGACTCCAAAAAACAAACAAAACAGAACAAAAAAAGAAACAAGATGGCTGAAATGACGAACTCAAGGCTTAAAAACTGGAGTCTACAAACCCGTGGGTGACGTTGCAGTGGCTGTGTCGATTATTTCTACAGTCTACTCTATTTACATCACTATAGGGTGCTACACATACTAGCACACTATGTTGCTATTTAAATTACTTGACTTTTGGTTTTGCATGGGACATATACAGCAGGCTCCCAGGTGAAAGTCCAGAGTTTGTTTAACCCATCCACCTCACCTCCCAACCACCATACGCAGACTGTCTTGCTCATTGCGGTGGTTGTTTAGAGCTGACACCTAGTGCATCTCATGCTGCTGCTAAAGGGTGCCCTGATGCATTGGTACCTGATGCTCAGGGCCAATGACTGAGCATCGGCATTTGATTAGTTGGGAGTGAGACCAGGTTGTTGGCAACCGGATACATAAATGCTCTATTTACTACTACATTACAATGTGTTGTAAACCTTTTATTGCAAGTTTATATACTGCTTACAAGTGCCACATGCTTCACCCTACTTTGAATTACCATTTCAACTATGTTAAATAACTTGCTATTTAGGCTAAAGTTTAATCAATGGCTACTTTTAATAGAATACAAATCAAACACTATGTGCTATACATTTTTGACCCATCACAACACTCAAGCTGAAAAATAAATTTTGTATTCTTCTCTAATCTTTTGATATGGTACAAGACAAAAAAGACAGCTGTTTATGTCATCTACACACAACCATGGGACATAACTGGGCATTGCTCTGCCAATTTATTTATCAATTTCTGTACAAAGTAGCTCGTACCTGTCTAAGGTTGAACGCTGGCTGAACAGCTGGCTCTGGACAAGGTCCCCAATGAGGCACCTGAGCCCTGATGAGCGGGAGGATGAAGGCAAAACCCAAAACAAAAGGTAACTTCATGGTTGGGGCGCCCTTCATTACCTGCAGGAGTTGATCCACCATAACATAAAAATTAAATCAGATACAGTTTGTGTTGAAACGCCATCAAATAACCAATATATAAGCAGACATAACAATATATAAGAAGACGCAACTGCTGGAAAGCAGAAAAGGATTTCATGGCATTTTAAGAGGTAATTCTAAATGTTAAAGTTTACTTGACAAACATTTTCTACACAGTTTCTTTAAACACAAGAAAACACAGCATTAGTTAAGGCTAATAAACAGCATTTTCCCTTACAAATCATCACCATTTATACATACATCACCAAATATATTTTCTTACCTCTGTGGCCAGATGGTCCAGATATGTGTTCTCTCCCTCGGACTAATCCCGGTATTTGAATTAGAGATGTTGCTCTCTGCAAGGTCTTGCAGTACTGCGACCCTGTGTCATCAATGCCTCTTTGTGTGGAGCAGCTTTATTTCAGACATGAAGTAAACTATTAGCAAAGTGGAGTCATGGGGGACATACCAGCAGAAATGTTATTAAACAGTCTGGATGTTGTCCTCCCTTAGAGGGACGGGGATGTGTACGTGGTTTCTTTTTTACAATGTTTCCATAAAATATCTGAGGATTTCTTTAAGTGACTCTCAAGCAGCTACGAAAAAGGTCTGTAGATTATCTTGAGTAACCGGGTCATGATTTTTGAAAAATGAAATGAGTTTTTTTTGGCGCTTTGAGCACCACAAGCTGAGTGCCATCTAGATCCATTATTCTCAAGAGAAGGCAGACATCTCTACGGCCAATATGTCTAACACATAACTCTCGCCAAAACAATCTAGGCTGATAAACAGCACTACAGGTAGGGGGAAAAATATGTATTTTTGATTCTGGGTTAAACTGTCCCTTTAAATATTGTTTCATCAGTCTGCATTTTATTCTTTTTACAATGAGCATGACAATCTCTCAAGGCTGTAACCACTTTCTTTCATTATAACACAAAGCATTGGTGTATGTCAGTGTTTACTTCATGTCTGACACCTATACTCATGATTCAATGACACTCATCGCCCACATATTTCAACCCTTGTCTGACCCTCTGTTTTTAGCTCAGTGTGCTGTGAGCAGAATCCTCTCCATGTTGGTTTTCAGCCAGTCTGACTGGTGACTCTCATCCTGTCACTCATCAGGACCCAGGCCAGGCCCACTGAGGGCAGGAGCAAACGCTTCAAAGCATCATTTTCATACAATCAAGTGCCTAGCATGTGTTGATTTGCTGGTGGCATGTCTCTGCAGAGGGACTGTTTTTATTCACTGAGCTGAACTCTCTAACAGTTTTAAATTAGCTCTGAAGGGTGTGGACTGATGTTAACACTGTCAGAATGTTACTGGCTATGTGTGAAACCTATTGTGGATAGTCTGAACAGGAGACAACAACAAGACAGAGACAAGATGTGAAATAATGCATAAAGAATGAGAAAAAAACCCTAAAAAAATCTGTGAATTTATTATTTATCAAACTAACAGCTGTTATTTTTACCTTGAATATCCTGACATGATGCACAGGCTCAACTGCAGGAGTCGATGAGTGAGTTTTCTATCCATGGTATTGATTTTACCGTATTATACATATTTATATATATATATACATATATTATATATACAATAATTGATTGCATGCTCATGTAGTTAGAGTAAGTAAGTTGGCACATAATCAGTAAGTGCTGAGCGTGTGCCAACTTAATCAATTCTTTCAAAGAGTCCTGATCATCCATCCATCATTAGAAAATTTGGCAGTGCTTCTGTATTCATGATAAGTTGTGGAAAGATGATCATCGTCCAAATGCAGCAAAGTGCGCACAAAACTATATAAACTGAGCAGTACTGCATCTCAGTGTCTCAGTCCATAGGTCGACATTTAAATATGTGAAATGTCCTGGTGCAGTAAAGCACCAGAGTTTAACTCTCAACACAGATTAAACCAACCACTGTCAATTATGCCATTAAATGCTCTCTGCTCTCAGACAAAGCCCCACAGCTACAAACAAGGTTAAATTAAAGAAGAGAAAGATCAAAAGGCTCAGTTTCCAGCTAATACACTTCAGAGAGGAATGACTTGTTAGCTGCACCCGGATACATCAAAGCCTGGTTCAAGCAGAGGCGGGTTTTCCCCTGGATGGGGGCATTGAGCCTGACTGGTCAGTCGATGATCAAGGGAAGAAACAACCACACTGGCTCAAAGACGGAGTCAGAAATATCAAAAGGGTAAGGAATATTAAAGGAACGGATGAGTATGCAGAGACAGGAACATTTCAGCAAAAAAAAACAGTCAGCCCCTGCTTGTTTTGATCACGGTTGTAATGTATAGTTTTTGTTTCCATATTCTCATATATCACATGGAGGGCTAATTCAGTTGTCATCAGTGAGGCTTGTTTGAAACTGTGCTGATTATATATATCTCTGTGCTGCCTGGGGGAAGAATTGGTGTGAAGCAACCATGTTTTCACAGACATGGATGTGGGCTGTAAGTGTAACTTGACTGGTGCACGGAGGCAGACACGAGGCGATAATTCTACTTTTACCAAGTCTTTTCTCCACCTTTCAGCCGTGACTGCATCACCACTCAGGTCGCCCATGGACCTTTTTCACAGCAGACATTTTGACTTGTCATGATAGGGAAAGCACAGGTGAAACTGATTACATTAACAATCGCTCAGTTCCATTAGGTGGCCCAGTGAGTCAGCACCCACAATACCAGAGCCTCCTTAAAGTGGATTGCAGCCATCATTAATGAAAGTAAATACACCTGTGCTTTTCCTACGACGGCATGTCAAAATGTCTGCAGCGAAAAAGATCACTTCTGTGGGAAAGCCCCCACACATACCTCTTCCTCTGGACACCCACCTCCACGTTTCCATGGTGCACAGCTCCACACCTGATTTTATTCCTACAAGAATAAAAGCCTGGTACCACACTGGCAGCAATGTGAGGATATGATGCTCATTAGAAAGATTTTTATAAAAGACTTTGTGTGTATGTGCATGAACACAGCCAATTATTACAGACCTTCCTGATAGGAGGCATTCAGACTTGTCAAACACAGCTGTCACTAATTATATCACTGATATAGGTGTAGAGCTGTGGGAGTCTGCTGTTGCTCATGTTGGCTTACCTATGGAGCTCTTCTTAAGGTTGTTAGCGACAACATTGGACCCTTTTTTGTGATTTAATACTCTGTCATGTCTCTTTCAGTAACACACCATTTTCCTATATTTTTATACATTGTGTTCTTCATCTCTTAATTTTTTACCCTATAACAAGTTATGATAATAGATAAATAGACAGAGGGACCTTTTAAAGGCTCTTGTGTTTGCCTTATGTAATCTGTAATTTGTATATTTTTATGCTGTTTGTATAATTCTATGTGGTGTTGTTTGTGCACTGCTTTCTTAGCCAGGTCGCTCTTGTGAAAGAGGTTTTTAAATCTCAATGAGTTTTACCTGGTTAAATAAAGGATAAATAAAAAAAAAAAAAATAAAAATCTGGCTGTCAGAGATACTGAGCTAGCTGTAGCGCACTAGCGTTACCTGCATGCTAGCATTAGCGCGCTAGCCCGCCAACTGTAGCCTTATTTTTTTCCATGATTGTGTCCAGTGACAGAAAGTACTGCAGAAAGTGAGGCTTATGGGGAAAACAATCGCAGGACATGATGATAAACCAAGAACACCTTTTTTATGGTGGCCTTTTTAAATGAGCAATGGGGGGAGTTACTAAATTAAGTGATGAAGCAATTGATAAGTAGAAAGCATTAACTAGCTAGCTAGCTAAAAAGTTAATTACTTCTACTTCATTAATGATGTCCTAAATTCGTCTTAAGTACTATTAGGACGGGATTAGTTTTACATCCCTATGTAAAACTAATCCCGTCCTAATAGTACCTAACACCTAACACAACCAGAAGTCTCGTGGCTCTAAAAAGTGCTTTCTTCTCGATCTCTTTGATTGGTCTCCCACGTAGGGCGATGCGATCATTAGAAGAATGTCCACTATCACGACTGCCGACAACACCGAATGCTTCTTGAAGCACCTCCATCATCGAAAAAATGCGGAAAACTAGTTGTAAACGCAGAAAAATGGTTGTAAACAGGACGTGACAAAACAAGAACAATGAGAATGAGGTCATGCTTTATGCATTATGAGTATTTCAGAGGTCTAACGAGGAGCCTGTTGCTCAAAGTGTCACATAGTGTTAAAATCCTTCTAATGGGAACTGCTTGGTGTAGGCCTACAGATCTATTTGTTTCAACTCTGCTGGTTATTTCTTTCTGGTACTGGGATGTCATTTTTTATCATTTTTTAACATTGTTAGTTACACCATTGTTTTTCCAGAGAAAAGCCAAATTGCAAGTGGGATTGGATGTATTTAAAAACTAACAGAAGTGTACGTTTAAGTGTACACTTACATCAGTGTTTCCAAGGAACATTAACATATATATGACTGACCAAGTCACATGACAGCAGTAGTAAAAAACACTCACATGCCACATGTGGGGTCATGTTGGGGCCCCTGGTACATATGTACACACAAACACACACACTGAAAGTTAAACATGTGGAAGGGAAAACACCCTAACGTATGACATAACATACACACACAGCTTGAGAATATTTCCTGCTGCTACTGAGGGACAACAAAGGTCACAACACCATCTGTGCCTTTTCACCTAAATTAAATTAATAGTATTACTGTATTTTTTTTTTTTTTTTTTTGAAAATGCTGTCAGACTGGTTCAACAAGTGAAAAGAATTGTTTTCTCATTGGAAATAAGTAATTGAATTAACTATTACACAACTTACGAATAAATTATAATAGGGCTGAAATCAAGTAAGTAAGAAAAGAAGTAAAATATGACAAAATCATACAATGATGTGTTTTTTTTGGATATAATTGAATCATTCAAACAGTCTGTCTTTAACAGAGTCAGATGTAGGGTTAGAGTTTTCGAGAATCATGAAAAGTATTGAGGGCAACATGATCTCACAAAAATTCATGAAATGACCGCAACCTCTTAAAAAGATTGTGGTTTACGTTAAAATAAATATGTTTCGTATGTGCAGGATGTAACATCACGTAACATTACATAACTTTAAAAGATAAGGATGTAAATTTAAAAGAAGTCAATGTTGACTTTTAGTGTAACACAGAACATGTACAGTGGCCTCCCGGGTGAAAGTCCTTTGGTTGTTTGACCTCCTTCTTATGCAGTCTTTATTGCTCTTTACACTATGGTTTCGTAACATTTCAACCACCAGCCACTGCATTACATCGTTGTTCCAGGAAATTTGTGATCCTATGGATCCTGGCTGACTCTCTGTTGGCATTATTAAGTGGTGCAAGCACGTAATTTAAACACATCACATGCCACGACCACATAATGCAGTATTCAGAGGTCATGGTCTTTTCACATATTTCTGTGAGACCAGGTTGGGAGGGTGTTTGTAATATCAGAAATACTTTCAGTACAGCACAGACCAGTACAACAAAACCACAAACAACACCATCACAAGTCACAACACAATCAATAACAACTGACAGTACCTTCATGTTAAAGCTTCCCAAAGGTTACATTTGTTACAGGGTATTTTTTATCACACTGGATTGATTATAGTTAGTATGGGTGTTGCTGTTGTTGTGTCCACCCAATTTAAAACAGTAAACAAATGGTTGTTGTCCTTTAGGATGCTGTAATCCAGACAGCTAGAAAACGCCTGTGTTTTTAGTGACTCTTCATGCAGGAAAATCAAATTAAATATATATCATCTATCATTTTAGGCTTTTAATAGAGAGTCAGCAGAGAGAGTGAGATGACAGAAAATCTAGGAGTTAGAGAGATGACATGCAAAAAAGGTTGGAGAAATCTGTTTCTGAAATCTTCTGACAAAAGACTTTAAAATGACACAGCTGACTGGAAAACCACAGGTGCTGGTGATAACATGAACGATGGCTCTGTTGTGTTCACGTGTCCCAGTGACAGTGACAATGAGCTGGCATGCACAATACCAGGAACTTCATATCAAAGCAGCTAAATTAATTTTATTATTTACACCTGTTTTTTTCGTGCTAAGATGTGTCAAAATTCTCCTGTGAAAAAAGTTCATTGTTCACTGCAGACATTTTACTATCAGAGAAAAAGATCAGTTGAAACAATCAAAGGAAACTGCTTTCTGCCTTAAACCTAAAAGATGAACAGAAGGTTTGGGGGGGAAAAACTCATGTCTGCTCACCACAATATGCATAAAAGTATAATTAAATTTAAGTACTGATTACAGTCAACAAGTTTATTTAATTCTAAAAGCATATAATGCTGATTCAAGCATGTCCTGCTCCATAGAATACGTTACATTTATCTAACCTTTATGCCTTTATGACACAAACAGTAAGGTCTTCATTGTCCATTAACTGGTTGGTGTTATTGCCACATTGACTGAGCTGACTGTTTGGTATGTGGTTATCCTTCAACAAAGATAAGAATGCCATTGCCTTTATTTTCATAGTTTTGGACAAACATGCCTGAGAACGTGTCACATTTGAGGGTCAGAGGTCATTTCTCAGGTGAAAATCCATTTTGTTGTGAATAGAAACTGCATAACGGAACAACATGTTTCCTAGAGGATCAATATGGCCACTGAATGACCTTTTTTGACTTTCCATTCATTCAAAACAATACAGTTCAATTGCAGGCCAAGAATAATATATCTGATTTAGATTGAAGACTATATAAGCTCCCTCACCCTCGATGATTGAGCTTTATTCTATCATTCAAATTTTCATGATATTTTCGGTCAACAGTTGTCCCTCCTGTCACATACTGTATGCCCTGAGCATAGCATGAGCCAAACTCTGTGCTTTAACTGTAGTGTGTGGTGTTCATATTTCTATGTAAACAGCATTACTTATCAATATGTACAAAATGAAAAATTATAATTACATTTATTCAACCTTATTCAACCTTTAAATTGGTACCGAAAGACACAGGAGTTTGAATGACCATTGGTTTATTTCGTCTATCTTATATTGGGCTTAAAATGCCCCTGGTTGGTTTCACTGTATAAATTTAATACAAATAAAGTTAACTTGAAATTACTGAAAACAAAATGATACCAGAATAAAAGGATGGTAAGTTTTTTGTCAATTTCATGTACCACTGTGGATTGTACTTGCAGCAATTTGTATTAAAGGAAAGAATATGTTTTTGTTATGTATAATATGCAAATTAATTGTAACTTTCCTAAAATAATAATGATAATGCTGAAAACAAAATTGAATTGGCTAAATTGCGGATGGTGCTGAAACAGCTCCAGAGAGATGCTGGAAAACAAGACGTTTTTATTCTGAAGGCGTACATTTTGCTTTCTGTTTGTGAAGTTTAACTGGCAGTGACTTTCCAAATCGGAGTTTTGATCAATGTCTGATCATAGACTGTGATGTTGTACATGTCTCATCACTTCCTGTTAGTATGGTTACCATGGTCACCTCACTTACCATACTTTACATTTTGGTAATACCAACTGCAAAAACTATGAGTATGTAGGACATACTGTAGCAAAGATTTGGAGCTCTGCCTTTACAAGTGGATATCCAACTGCTTGAATTATTTTTTTATTTTATTTTTTTGTAAATGCCCACAATGATTTTTCATCTTAAATCAAAGGACAAATCTGCCTCTGAATGTTTTGGACTGAGCTTTGAAAAACTTCTCCCAACAGGAGGTAAACAGACTCAAATTATCATGAGACGACAGATTTATTCTTTAATACACTGCCGGACAAAACATTACAAAACTGAGGATGTTGATAATGCATTGAAAGTAATGACAAACAAATTAAAATTCAACTGAAGCAGTTGTTTATCACAATATACAGCCAGTCTGACCATCTTCTCAATGCCTCTAATGTTGATTATAATGATATCTAAATGTTGAATGTCTCTAATGAGCATTTTGTGTCCTGCAGCTCTTTGTCTGATTTTGTTTTCTCCGTCTACCCTGTTGATAAACCACCACAGACATCCTCTGCTTCAACCCATTTCCAGTGCCAAGTGCTTTCCAAGGCCCTCATGGCTCTCTTGTAAAAAGCAGGGCAGGGATTAAAAGTGAATCCAGAGGCACAGAGAGAGCTGCTGTGGGAGCATCAAGAAAACCAGATGCACCTGTGCCCAATTAGTCTTCCTTTACACCTGCGTGTGCTTTGATAAACACTAAGAGAACTTGAGGTTGGTCAAAGCAGGAAGCTGCAGTAAATGTTCACCCGAGACGGCACTTATGTTTGGAGATCGAAGGGCTGATACTGGTAACAGTGGAGTGAAATTTGTATGTTGTTTGTTGTTGTTAATGAGAACCAGAAAACCTTCTTTCAGTGACTCTGGTTCATAGAAAATAGCAGCTAGCACTATAGTTGATGCTTTTATCTTTTCAGTGCAATCATGTCCTTCAACTTCCCAAAGGAAAATACTCTTATTAAAGCAAGTGGGAATACAGTCACTAACTTTCTTGCTGAGGGTGCATTTGTAAATCCAATCTGACACTTTACACTAAAATGAGAACACTGTTGTTTGAAGAAACTGCAAATGATTGAACTAATCACACATTCACTCCACTTGGTGTCCTGAGTGTGCTCTGCTGCTCAGAGAGTGCGGTGTTCTAAATAAGGGAATGGTACTTTCCAACAGCAATCTGAAATTTACGAATTTGCCAGAGCGTGCTCCATGAATGTGCTAAGAGAACTGGATATAGCATTAAATGTGGGCCCCCTTCATCCCTGAGTTGCATGAAGCCAAAATGGTTCAGCTGCTGTGTATAAAGTTACACAGAGGAGCCAGACAAGTGATAAGCCCTACTTCTGCAATGTGCAGCCCACAGAGCAAGTGCATTAGAGACTTATAGTGGCTGACTGTGGCCATGTTGTTTACTTGAATGGAGATACAATTATTCAATCATGCGGCTCTTCTAGACTTTCAAAATAAAATAAGACCCAATGGATCAAATCCTGATAGTCAAATGAGTTATTTCGCGGGGGTTGTGATGCTCAAAAAAATGTATCCACTGATTTACAAGTGTCTCTTTAGACATGTAAGTCAATGGGAAAAAGTATTTCTGGGCCACAGGGAATCGAGTGATGGTGTGATTGCAGCCGGGCGCACTTCCTGGGGGCCTGTTGTACTATGGCACTCAGGCCTAGTCCCCACGAGCACGGGTATTTTTAAAACCAAACTTTTTTGGCCTTCAGTTTTTAAAAAATCTGCGTCCATACGAGGTGTAATAAAAATACCTCCGTCCACATGACACCGCAAATTCCACTATCAAGCAATGTAATACACATGCCAAAGCAGTAGGTGGCGATATAACTCCTAACTGTGGCCATTGTAGCCAATCAGAAGGCAGTAAAACGTCATTACCGGAAAAACAACAACAAGCGTACTATTATGCAGCAGGAGCAGTCTCCGTAATTGCACACTCTTGCGCCTCTGTTGCTGGATGTGGTTGAGTAGTGTTAGTTGTATGATACAGCCACAAAGTGCTGATATGCTGCTAAATAGCAGCAATACTTTGTTTAGGTCGATCCTCAAATCGTCTCTCGCACACACTGGATCGGGTAATAACACAGCTGTTTTCTGCTTACGTCACACACTGTGACGTCATACAATGGAGACGAGACAAAATACATGCGGTTATCCTGTCCACACATGACTGCTGACACTGAACTCTTCCAAAAAGTTCACCCTGGACTCCGGTTACAAATAACTCCGGTTACAGGGGCCCAAAACTGCGGTTACGTGTAGATGAAAGGCCAAACCGTGAGCAAAGAGTCACGGTTTTATAAATACCTGCGTTGGAATGGACAGCCCCTCAGTTAGTATTTCCAAATGGACCCTTAGATGAGAAGATCATTTACCACTCCCAAGTTTATTTGGTAAAAATGAAGCTACAGCCAACAGGCAGTTATCTTAGCGTAGCTTAGCTTAGCTTAGCTTAGCATAAAGACTGAAAACTGAAAGAAACCTGCTAGAGTGGCAATAAAACAATTCTGTATCTGTGGGGGGGGAAACAACATTTTGTGGTTTAAAATTATCTGGTAGCAGTCACTTTCTGGAGTTTAAAAGCCAGGCTGTTTCTCGCTGCTTCCAGTCTTTATGCTAAACTAAATCTAAGCTAGCTGGCTTAGCTGTAGTCTCCTTTCTACCAGACAGACATGAGTGGTTTCAGTCTTCTTATAACTAACACACACATGCTCCTGAGATGGTCCCAAATACAGATATGGAGACAGATTCATCTCTGTAGTATTTGCATGAGGAGATCGACCATCTGCGTGTAAATGTGTAATCTGTAAATATTTCCACAAATACAAAAACAGATTTCTAAGCTTACAAAAATATTTTGCAAATATGTAACAGATCTGCAAATTAAAAAAAAAAAAAAGACTAAATTCTTCAGGCATAGAATTGAAATTCACAAATAAAAACTGGATTCACCAATAGCCTATCTGTTTGAAAGATGTAAATGTTAAAAAGATATTCACAAATGTTTAATTTGTGGAATTTGTTTGATCTGTTTTATATATGCAAAGTCCTTTTTTGATTTTACAGATGCTTTTTATATTTGTGGAAGTTATTTTATATCTACAGATTACACACTAACACATGGATACGTCGATATGTTCACACAAACAACACTGAGACAAATCTATCTCCATATTCTTCCAATTTCAGTTTGTTCATGGGCTGTAAGTTGTAATGTGGAAACAACACAGACACTACAGAGAGGAAGTGTTGTATTTTATTGCTCAGTGCATTTAAAAACATGATGATAACAGTTTAAAGTAGGCTGTATTGTTGGTGCACCAATTCCTTCCCTTAAACCTACTAAAACAACTTTCTGAGTTGTTTTTCTGACTTGTTGTGAATATTCTTGTTGTGAACTCATGTTCCCCATTTTTCTGACATCACAGCATGAAGTTAGCGAATAAGCACATTTCCAACATGTTGAGCTATTTCTTTGATAATCAAAGAAGATCAAAACTTCAGGTGATAATGCAACTATTTCTCTTTCTCTAACGTCAGTATGTACAGGAATGGCACACACACTTTCTCTTGATCACGATTTTGGGGAAGACACTGTAAAATATTTAAGCTATGCAAATAAGCAGATGCTAATTTTAAACTCAAACAAACCTAAGAAGGGGAAATGTGTCCTCTTAAGTCCACAACATGAAAAATGTATTTCTTTAGTTCAGAGTATCAGCTGCTTTGATTCTGCCTTACTGTCTACTGCAGCACTCAGATAAAAGATATCTTAGATCTCGTTTGTGTTTAATATTCATCTTGTTTGTAATTCTCACATTTATCTTGTTGGTTTTTGACCGAGTCTCCTCTTGAAAAAGTTACCAAAAATTAGTTTGTGTCATGGCATGGAGATGAATGGACAGAGAATGAATGAATGGGATCTATTTACTGCCACAGAGATAACAAGGTGTGAGGCCTGTTTGCACAGTGTCTTCATTTGAACAGGTGCCAGCTCTCACACTCACACCTCCTCAACACCTTAACATGTGAACACAAGAGGAGGGGCTGAAGAATGACATCAGTAATGGCACTCAAGATCTATAAAAGACCCTCAAACTGAGAGTCATGCACACAGGTAGTGACGCTGATTACATACAGGTGAGCAGACTGCAGCCCTGACTCTTCTCACATCTCCTGCCCCTACCTTCTGTAGTTAGCAGTCAAAGATCGTCTTTCAAGAGCAACCTCCTAGCGTAAACCTGATTGTTTAAATAATGGTGCTGTGTGTTTTGCTCTCCGCAGGTCGTGGTGAAAAGATGAAGGCCATACAGGTGATTTCCTTGACTCTGCTGTGTATTTTCGCAGCCAGCGCTCAGGTGCTGAAGTTCGGCAAATGTCCCACACCTGCAGTTCAGGCCAACTTTGATCCTACCAGGGTGAATACTGAACTTATGTTTCTTTTGCTATTAATTAATGTCTTGCCTGTTTTGCAACAATTACATGTTCAGTGTTTTTAGTGTGTGAAATCCTGTGTTTCCTCTGCAGTACGTTGGTAAGTGGTATGAGATCATGAAGCTGCCGACAGCCTTCCAGAAAGGCGAGTGCGGCACTGCCACCTACAGCCTGAAGGGTCCTGGAGTCCTCGGGGTCCTCAACAGGGAGCTGCTGTGAGTACAAGCTGCCTCAGTTTCAGGATTTTAGATTTCAGGATTTGAATATATGCATATTCTTGTCATAAAAATGCTGCTTAAATTCATGTTTTTTGCAGCTCTAATTGTTCTTATCACAGTCCTTGAAATGATCATTTTCGGAGTGAAAGAAAAGACTTTTTAACCTCTAAATTAGTGTGTAACTCCACAATAGACAGCCCTGTGGTGGGAGTGTATCTGCACACGACTGTCTATTGCATTTGCCTTTTTAAGGCCACATCATCGACATGATGACAAACTGATCTTTAATACTGTTTCCAGTGTATGAATGGGAAGCATTTAGTGAAAGGGATAGATATACAATACATTGGAACTTCAAAAATTAAGACAAAGACCTAGAAGTGAAAGGAAATGCATGACTGTGTTAATACTTTTCTCTCTTTTTTAGTGATGATGGAAGCATTAACTCCATCGTCGGCCAGGCCAAGGTCAGGGACCCCGCTGTGCCTGCCAAACTGGAGGTCTCCTTCTCTGGTGAAGACGTCTGATTCATTACAGTTATATTCAAGTTCAGTCAGTCATTGGAGGTAGTTATTTGTGCACTGAATATACCAGCTTTGACTCTCATCTCTCCTGCAGGAACTCCCCCTGGTCCCTACTGGGTGCTGTCCAGTGATTACGAGGGTCACTCTCTGGTCTACGGCTGCACAGACTTCGGCCTCTTTCGCATGGAGCTGTCCTGGATCCTGAGCAGAGAGCCCACCCTGTCTGAGGAGACCTTAGATCAGCTGCACGGCATCCTGTCCTCCATTGGAGTCAATGTGGACAAGATGATCCCCACCAACCAGGATGAGACTTATTGCATCCCCATGGACCAGTAAACAGAGACACTCCTGTTTCAGCCTCTACAGGACTGTGAGACAAGGCGACCTGGAGTCATGACATGACACAGTGTGTGGTGTGCCTCGCCCTGTCGGTACATGATGCAGAGTCAATGCAATAAACCTGTAGAAAAAAAAAGCATGTGGTGGTGTATTTTGTCTTTGGACTTTCAGGTCTTATTCTGAACGACAGAGAAATATACTACAAATCAGGCGGAAATCATACAAACTGAAATGGCAAATGTTAAATACCCATACATATGTTTATTTAAATATTCTTACAGTCACCAATAAAAAGAAATTCTAATAAACTCTCTCTAAATAAGATTATAACTCATTTAGCCAGCAACTCATCAGTATTCCCACCCTCAACCTTTCCATTTGTGTCACCTCTTCCCTCAAGCACTCCCGATCACACAGCACCCAGATCATCCACTCCATCAGTGCTTTACCCTCCTTCCTACAGGATGCAGGTGGAGACTATCCATGTGCAGAAAGGCCTGTTTTAGTTTTAGCATGAGCCTTCTTCCCACAGCCATACGAGCTTTAAAGAAGTAACCTCCTCATGATCTTACCAGAAATGTGTGTGCACCTACTGTGGAAAATAGCCGATCTAACCATCTATAATATAGTCTAATTTTAAACCAGCATTGCTTTATTGGTTTCAGTCTCACATACTTCCTGCCTCTGAGCTTTGTTGGGCTTCATTTTAATCATCTCAGATTTGAAGAGTGGCATAGTGTTATATTTATTTGTCACGTGGAATTACACAAGATACATCTCCAATGAAATGTGATCCCATCAGCTCCTTTTAGTCCTTTTTTTTTTGCATCTTCTTTCATTGTCCCTTATAACTGTCCATGTTTCCGCATGGTTCTGGTAATCTGAAGTTTCTGGCTGTGAAATGATTTAACTGTCCTGACCCCAACAAGACAGCCACATGGTCAAAGCCAACCACAAAAAGCACCACCAAGACTTGCAAAATAGACACAAGAGCATAAATTTAGCACAAAATCAGCATATAATTTGTGTGAATTTGGCACAAATTTAGCACAAATTTAGAAGAGCTGACAGGGAGGGGACTGGAAACATCAGTGCCTACATCATCAAATGTCCGTGCCTTCATCTTCGCTACAATGAGTTTGTAGTTTTCTGGAGGATTCCTTTTGAAAGGCACTAACATTGAGTTTAAGTACACACATAATCATTACATCACTTTTAAAACTGTATATGCAGAGCCAAGGTGGACCCACAAAGTTCACACTGTGATGTAATATGTGTTTATAGGAAGTGAATCGTCAGTCAAAGTTAAAAAAAAAAAAAAGGTGTGTTTTGGTAAACAGCACTGTGCTATACGACTAAACAATGACACTGCAGCACGTTGACATGAGTGAGGTGCTAATCCATGCCATTTTTTAACTAGATCCTTCCTCTATTCACTGAACAGCCAATAAAGAACAATTGTTACTATTCATACACAAAAACATACCACTTACAATTTGTTTACAACTGTAAATAGACAGTAAAACATCCATTTATGACTATTTTTTTACAATGAATGAAGAAATTTGAGATTTATTTTTATTCTTGTGGTCTAAGACAGTTCAAAAATGTTAGTAAACATGAACCGCTCTCTCCCAAATCCAAAAACTAAAGTGCTAAAATTCAAATTTGTGATGTCTTCAAGTCACCATGATGTCGCTATAACAACAACAAGCACTTCTAGGTAGACAACTGTCAGTTCATTTCGATTGTGGATATATGTGAAAACAGCAAACTTGTCTCTGATGTCATTTTCAGTTATAACTGTAATGTTTAAAGATATCAAGTTAAACACTTTGGTGCGACCTGTCTGACGTTTCTGCTGTGCTTATTTCATACACTGAGTTGCTTCGCTATCACCTCTGATACACCTGACACAGAAGCAAAACAATGTACTGCTGTGGATAGAGCCACAGCAAAATGTGTTTTACCCACCTAAAAAAGTCAATGTCAGTATATGTGTACACTATATTTAAATATTTTCACTGGCTTTACACACTAACCAACTGACAATGCAGTACCGGCGACTCTGTGTTCTGCAAAATTAAATTACAGTTTTTGTCAATGGAGTTTGGTGGTTTTGATATAATGGCTTCAGTTCCCCATTGGAAAAAGGCTGTCTGATGGCAGGGTGAAGCTGTGAAGATATTCTAAATACAGCAGATGGCGGATTGAGGCAGTGTTTGTTCAGCGCCGTTTGAGGTTACGTGACACACTTTCTAATCCAAAGTTATTGTAAGTAAACACTGTGATTCAGTCTTTATGGGTACGTTTTCTATTTCAGAGCCGAGAGCATCACGATAAAATAAAGCTCATTTTGGGTATAAAAAAGAAAGCAAACATCCTGGGGTCCACAAAATCAGTTTCCTATTCATCTTCTATAGAGCCACTTCAGACTTTATACCCTATGACATCACAAGTTAGAGACTTACTTCTCTGGTTTCTGGCTTTGAGAGAGAGTAGCTCATGTTCACAAATATTGATTGAACTCTCCAGCCATGAAAATAACATATTGGAATTCTTATGATGTTTCCCTCTTAACCAAAGAGTCATTTCGGTAAGGTGAAACAATCATCAGTTAATTGATTTTCAATACTGTATTACATCAAATAACTACAGAGGCCCACAGATGCAGTTTAAATAAGTTTATTGTAAGTACAGTCACAAGCACCACACATCAGTCTGTAGGCCTGTAGATTCATCAGGTCCCTCTCAGTCTGTTTACTAGTTCATGGCACTGCAGTAATCTGCGTCCTGGTTGGTGGTGACCAGCTTGTCCACTCTGACTCCGATGGAGGACAGGGTGCTGTGCAGCTCCTCCATAGTCTCCTCAGGCAGGGTGGGCTGTCTGCTCATGATCCAGGCAAATTCCACGTGCACCACACCAAGGTCGGTGCAGCTGTAGACCAGAGAGTAATTGTCGTAGTCGGTGGACAGCACCCAGTAAGGAGCAGGGGGGGAGACTGTGGGTGTAAAGGGAGAGGACAATCAGCTGAACAAGTTTCCAAAAGTTCTTCATTCGTATAGTCTACAGACGAGTCAGCCTCCACAGCGTAAAGTGTTGAATAGTGATCTCCACAGGTTTGTAATTAATTCAGGGTCCTTACGTGCAAAGAAGGAGACCGACAGCTTGGCAGGCTCAGATGGGTCTTTAGCCATGGCAGAGCCACTGATGGAGTTAATGGTCCCATCAGCACTGAAAGAAAGAGAAAAAATATAATTTGTGGTGAAAGAAATACTAATAATATAACTGTTACAAGTAAAAATCCTACATTCAAGATTTCACTCAATAAAAGTACTAACAGCAAAATGTAAAAATATTAGTTGGGCAGAATGGTCCCTTTCAAACAGTTTGTAAGCTTTGGTAGTCAAAGTAGTACTCACAGCAGCTCCTTGTTGAGGACACCCACAACTCCGGGGCTCTTAAGGCTGTAGTTGGCAGTGCAGCACTCGCCCTTCTGGAAGGTGTGAGGCAGTCTCTGGATATCGTACCACTTACCAAGATACTGCGGAAAACACGAGGAACATAAATTAATCTGTTGTTGATGAAGAGCTGCAGAATCTCGGGGCATTATGTCGCAGTTTTTGTTTTATGTTACAAATGGTCGCCCCGGAAGGCCTAATTTGTTAACTTGTGTAATTTAAATGAAAGGAAGTGGAAAAGAAATGCTGCTTTGACAGAGTATATTAAAATCTGGTATTCACCCTGGCTGCGTCAAAGTTCTCCTGAACAGCAGGCTTGGGGCATCTTCCTGGCATGATGACCTGAGCGTTGGCCGCCAGAACGGACAGCAGAGTGAGGGAAATCACCTGGATGGCGTTCATCTTTTTTCCACGACCTGTAGAGAACAGAAAAAGGACTCTTAATTCATTTAGATACAGAGGAGCATCATGCCTGTGACTTGTTTACCTGTGTTACTGGGTAGAAGTGACGTTTGGAGTTTTGATGGTGTTTTTATAGGTCAGTGAACGTGTTTCTTCAGCCCCTCCTTCATATTTACATACATGTGAAGCTATTTTGAGGGAATTGTGTGAAAGTTGGCACCTGTTCATGTTTAGTGTTTAAAGAGGCCCCTGACAGAAAAAAAGATGATTGACAGGTTGGTGTTAAAGTTAGATAAGTGCAGTGCCGCCTCTGTTGATAACAGCTTCCTAGAATTTATGCAAATATAGTAGTTTTTGGATGGTAATGTTGGTCAGACCACCACTTTACTCCAGATTAAAATACCTCAACAATTATCAAATGGATTGCCATTAAATTTGGTTCATTTGTTCATTTTTACTCAGAGAATTAATCCTACTGACTTTTTTGATCCCACGGCTTTTCCTATAGTCCCACCACGAGGTAGACACTTATGGCTGTGAGTGAAATTACTTAACAGCTGTAGATGGATTACCAAACATTTTGGTACAGACATTCATGCCCCCCACAGGATGAACTGTAATAATGTTGGTGATCACAGTTTATTGTTAAAGCAGTACATATCATGGGAGGACTTGAGTGAAATTAGCTACTCTTATTATAAAATAATTGGCAGTACAGGACTGTGGATTATATTGAGTAACCAGGTCATGATTTCTAGAAAGAGATATTGCTGGTGAGTTTTTCATATTCAAGAGAGGGCAGACATCTCTACAGCCAATATCTTTAACACTTGGCAACTCACACCAAAACAATCTAGACTGATAAATATCACTACAGGTAAGAGAAGAAATTTGTATTTTTGATTTGTGTGTTAACTTTCCCTTTCGGGGCTTTAATCTCAAATGACACTCCTGTCAGCCTCAGCTGTACTTTGTGTGCTAAGTAGCAAACGTTAGCATGTTAAAACACTAAACTAAAACGGTGAACCTGCTAAACATGTTAACACTGAGAGCATGTTAGCTGACATTAGTAAATGGCACTGTGCCTACAGAGTACAGCCTCACAGAAACAGCATGGTTGTAGACTTGTTGATGAACGAGCCATTTGAGTCCAAACACCACTGAACACAATGATATGAGTGACACCAACTCCAGTGATTTTACATGTTATTGCCTCTTCTAATCATTTCACTTTCCACTTTAACTCTGTCTTTCATTCTCTTCAAAGCACACTGT